AGGGTCAAATCAACATGCGCTAGAGGTGGGAGTAGGGTGCATATCTCCGCGTTGTTCCAGAAAAGCCTTGTGCTGTGATTGGCGGACTCCTTGCTTGCCTCACGCAAGCAAAGTCGCACCCCAAACCCTAGCCAAGAAGACCTCTACGTAGCCTTTTCTGTTCGCCCACACGAATACACATCAACCCATGTTCAGCGAAGTTTCGGGTGAAGCGCGGTGTCGTAATGAAGAACATCCTCCCCCTCCCCCCCGGGATCAGTCCCGTGGGAACAATGCTCCGTCCTCTCGATGACGCAGGGTCAAAGGTGTAACCGCTTAAGCACGCAAACCATGAGTGTACCCCCCCCCCCCTCAACGCAACCCCGCAGGTCTGCCTTATACCGATTGTTTATGTCGCTCAAACACGCCTCCGGCGGGTTTCGGATGCACGACGACGGAGAGGTGGACGCCAGAGGCACCTACACTGTCATCGCGGTGGCGTCGCTGCTGAACATGCTCACGCCGGAGCTGTCGGAAGGAGTTGCCGACTTTGCGGTGAGCTTTTTATTTCTTTGGCCGGGTGGGGGGGCTAATTCGCGGACGGAGGTTGGGCGGGGGGGGGAGGATTGTACACGTTTGCATGCATGGCCATGGTACTTTAATGTGTTTTGCTACAAGGTGGCATGTTTGCGTGAGGTGATTCGTTCCACCGGCGGAACGGGGAGTTGTTGTGTGGAGTCACGTTTGCTTGCAGGGATTGGCTAGCAGGGGTGCATACATAGCGAGGCGGGTTTTCGTTTGAGGCGAGGAGAGAGAGAGAGAGAGAGAGAGAGAGAGAGAGAGAGAGAGAAAGGCGAGGTTGGTAGACGCTTGTAGCCTAGCGCTGCCTGGGGACAGATGTCATCCGGCTCTACTTGGAAGCGGTGTTGCTTTGGCGTGAGGTTAGAAACAGAACAGAGGACCCAAAGCGGTTCAACTGGAAACCACGAGCGAGTGATTCTTCTAGCGCTAAAAATCAATGCGACCCACGCATGTGTATCTACCCAATTTCCTGCCGTGAAGAAGAAACCTTGACCCCCCCCCCCTATACGGGTATTGGTGTTTCAGCGTGCTTCAACACGATTGGTCGCGCAGGCTAGATAATGAGCCCTTGAAGGCTGACGTCTAGGTTTGTAGCTCCAGCGCGGAGCACATGCACTGCTCACGGGCCTGATGGCGACGAGTAATCATGGAGACCGCTCGTAGAAAGCGACACTCCTTCTCCTTCCCTCCCCCCCTGCCGCCGCGCACTCACAAATGCGCACCGGTACAGAGGGCACGCATTTTTTCTGGCAGAATGGGCATTTCCCCCTCAAACCAACTCGTTGTGTTTCTCTGTTTTTCTTTCGCTGGGCTTTCCGCGGCGACACGATTGCTTGCCCTTTCTCATCGCCCTCCTCTCTAACAACGGCCCGTTTTGTTTTGTTCCCTGTGGCCAGGCTCGATGTCAGACCTACGAGGGCGGGTTCGGGGGGGAGCCGTGGAACGAGGTGAGATCAGTCCTTAGGTGAAACGCACACCCTTCTACATGACCGTTGTCAGCTCTCGCCCTCGGTGTATACTACAGTGGGCGCTCAACAGCGCCGGTTGAATAACGCGGGTGGCCCTGTAGAGCGCCTGTGACGCATATTGATCACCAAGTCATGCTGTACTCTGAATAGCGCCGGTCGATTCGCCGGGCACATGCCAGCGTTATTGAGGGGCCCCCCGCTGTAGTTCTAACTTTTATTTGGTCCGAGCGTTGACCAGCTGCCGAATTGTTACTACGTTGGCCCATGAAGACCCCCCCCCCCCCCCGCTTTCTGAGGGCTGAGATTTTTCTTGATGTCATCTTCAATGCCATCGGAACTATCGTTGGTTCAAGCGTTGGCCAGCTCCCGAATTGTTATGTTAGCCCAGGGAGACCCTCCCCCCGCTTGCTGAGGGCGAAACTCGCTCTTGATGCCATCCTCAACCTCGCGGGAAGCAGCCAAGACGTCGAAAGTTTGCCATGCGTGAGTGATATACATAAAGCAGAACAGCCGAGCAAAGCTCTACGCGTGTTTCATTCGAAGCACCTATCGTTTCAGCCCTCATGTACTTCTGTACCTCGTCAACGACATTCTGGACGTAATCTTGGAAGGGAAGAATAGTATCTCAATAATCAAAGATAACGGCGGGATATTCTCCAAGCAAACTTCAAAACGACGCACGCTCTCGCCACACTTGCTCGAAGCGTTTGGCCACCCTGCGTGGCATGCCTTCACCGTCCACCGAATCGGGCATCGCGGCACCCGCTCACGCCACGCTTGCTCAAACCGTTTGGCCGCTCTGCGTGTATACCTGACATGCCTTCGCCTTTGACGGGCGGTGACGGCAGGCGCACGGTGGTTACACTTTCTGCGCTTTCGCGTCCTTGGTTATTCTCGGGGCGGGCGAGAGAGCAGACCTGGAGGGGCTCCGTCACTGGCTTTGCGCTCGACAGATGCGCGCGGAAGGGGGGTAAGGAAAGAGGGGAGGTTGTGTTGTTGGCGATTTGCAAGCGAGTGGAGGGAGATTGGAAGAATAATGGAGATGCGACATGTTTGGTGGTGGTGTGTGGGCGTGGTTTTAAGGAATAGTCTTACGATTTTGAGGCGAAACGTAACACAACGGAAGGAGAGAGAAAGGGAGAGAGGGACAGAGAACGAGGGGGAGAGAGAGAAAGAGACGGAGAGACAGACAGAGAGAGGCCCAGTCTGCCTTCACACGGAGATCTCGCTCGGTAGTATGAATTGCCTTGGTTTTATATCACTACATATTGCCGTTACAGATTATCGCTAGACCGCAAATAATGGGGTGATCCCGATGTGATGGATGATCGTTACGGCCAGGTTCCAGGGGCGAACCAACAAGCTAGTGGACGGCTGCTACTCCTTCTGGCAGGGCGGGGCCGTGGCCATCCTCGACTACGTTACCGCAGGCCGCGAAAGCGAGGTAGGTGGTGCTTGCTCATCATGTCGCACCGTCCAAAGTTGCGTTTGTCCAACATTGATTTATGGCCACATCCGTCCAACGTTGCCTTGGTCCACACGGACAGTTACAGTTATATACCCCAGAGAGTTGAGGGAAACATTGATGTATGGCCAGATGGAGGCGTGGAAGTGTTGGTTTTCGGCACACCGGGGGGCTTGCATTGCTTCGCTCTGAGGGGGTTCCGAGACGTTAAACGCACATACCACCCGGATGGAGGCTGTCTAGGTGCGAATGAGGCTGGGTTGGTTTGGAGTGTGCGGCGCCGATGTCTCGTTTTTTGTCTGAACCGACCGACGTCGAAATGATCACGTTCCCCTCGTACTAGCCTCCTCGCTGTTGCCAATGCTACACTCTGGGCTTCTTTAGTTTGGAAACAGCAACACTCTATATGTGTGTTTGGATTGTTAGCATCGACCGCTCTGACCGGCTGACCAATGAAAGTACATCAGTCTCAGTGCTTTGAAAACACAACAAGTGTTTCTTAAGGCTGTGTGCGTGTGTGTGCTTTCGATGCATGTGTTTGAAGGTGAGCCACCGAGACTCTTCCGGACGCCTGTTGGTAGCAACGACAACGGCGACCACACCGCAACAGCAGCAGCACATCAACGGGGACGTCTCCAAAAGAAGAGAAGGGACAGCAGCCGGCGGAGGCGGTAACGGGGGACAGGGTATGCAAGACCCGGAGCCCCCAAAGGTGGTGGGGGTAAGGGTAGAGGAAAGCGCGGTGGGAACCGTCGAGGGGGGAGGGGACGGCGTGCGAGAGATGGAAACCCTCGAGGTCGGGGGGGAGGGGGGAGGGGACGGCTTGCGAGACGTGGAGATCCTGGAGGTCGGGGCGGACGAGGACGGGGACGGGTTGGTGTTCTCGAGGAAGAGGCTCCAGGAGTACGTGCTCATGTGCTCGCAGCAGTCGGACGGCGGCTTGAGGGACAAGCCCGGGAAGTGAGGCCGGGGACAAGGGGCGGGGGGGGGGGGGGGGGCGGACCCTTTTGGGTTGGGGGCCTTACCGGTTAAACCTTTGACC